TGCTAAGCTATTGGCTTCCAACAGCACAATCTAGTAACAGAAGTAGGAATCCGCATGACCTATCATCACAGGCTATCTGGGAGGGTAAAACAAGGCAAGCCTGGATCTGAATCCCAGGTGCACCATGTAATAACTGTGAGGTCTCAGGCAAGCTTCTCTAAGTCTCAGTTTCCTCTTCCACAAATGAATACTGTAAGAGTTTCTACTTATTTTGTGTTTCATAAGGATACCTGAGATAATGAATGAGAAGCGCATGGTAAATGTTCATTGAGTATGAGTTGCTATCATAGAGTACTGCAGAGGATCCCTTAAAGTGATCTTATAAATGCAAATCCATGGAGTGAGGGACAGATTGCCCAGTAAGCAAGGTATGCAATGGGCTTACTTGTGCTTACTTACTAATCTGTGGTGCACAGTTTCACCTGTTTTTCACTACACCAAAGATGTGGTGAAACCCTAGGCCTCTGCGTAAAGACGCGCAGCTTTATCTCTTCATGGGCTGGGAAGCTCACCACGCCATCTCCTGTTCTGGGTCTCTGCTGCCAGGTTTCCCCATCTTCAAGGTTACAGCTTTCTTCCCATTTTCAGTGCAGGGATCCCGGGTCCAAAGGATGTGCTGGCTCCTGGCTGTTCTTCCTTGGTGGTGGTGGTATCTTCTTCTCTCTCCCACTTCTGGGGTGGCTCATTTCAAGCCCAGCAGGAGGGCAAAACTGGCCAATCCCTTTGGTGGGTCACAATTACCCCATCACGTAGTCACGCCCAATCACTTGGGTAGGAGTTACAGGACCATGGCTAGAAAGGCCACACAAAAACTGTATATTTCAAAGCTATATTCAATTTTAATGTCTCAACATACGCTTTAAAATCCTCAAAGCAACTAAACTCCAATGTCTGTTTGCTTACCTTTATCCATGCTTACTTGTCTAAGATGTCTTTGACCCGGGCTACTCTGTCCACCTAGAGGAACTTCAGGAAATTTCTAGGATCATGGAAGACCTTTTTGGCATGGAGCCATAATTAGGTAGCAAAAGAATCAGGAACACCTCTCATGTTTTGCATGTATCATTATGGGTAGATGAATCAAAAAGGAGATTAAGCAAAAGGCCAGTCTGATTAGGATGAGGTAAAATAAAGAGAAACTCAGGATTTGAGTCAAGGAATGTGGGAAATATAAGGGGAAGAAAAGATGGCAATTTCCAACTTTTCTTGACAAGAATCTCTTTAGGTTTCTGTCTTAACTGGGTTCTCTAGAACACAGAGCTTAAAGTAAAGTTTATGTGTTAATACTTTACTGGAGCTACAATCCCAGGGAAGCAAGAGTGAGGGGAAGGGAAGTGATGTAGGGAAGGAGGGAAAATAAATACAATGCCATGTGTTACCAAGCTAGCCACAGCTTCTTAAGAAAGCATAACCGGTATCTCGGTTATGCAAGACATCGCCAGAGAGGCCATATAGAGCCACTGCATGGAATACTCCATCAGGGAAGAAAGGAGAGGATTCTCTGCCAATTCCTTCTCATTTCCTGCCTCTCATTGGTCAAAGTTTCATGGAGAATTAACTTTCCCACCCTACTGGGTTGTGGTATCCAACCCCTTTGGGAAACTGTGACCTACAGCATACTACATCCAGGGCTGAAGTTGCGGAGGGAGCAGAGCCTCCATGAGTTCATTTGGGCTGGATGTGGGCATGAGAGCAACTGTGGTCTTACTACAGTGGGCATGATGGAAGCCATGTCAAAGTCCGGCCCTCACTCCTGCAGTGTTAGGAGACCAGACGATGTGGCAGCTGGTGCTGTTGATCAGACAAGTGCCCAAGCCCTGGGGAAGGAGAGGGAAGGGAACCAAGAGGAGAAAGAGGGAACCAAGCAAATCTGAGAGGCAGTTAAACTGAATCTCTTACAGTACCTAACTATATGTTCTAGATCATCCTTCCCCTTTTTTCATCTAAGGTCCTCCTTTCAAAGGCCCCAAACAAATTTCTCTCCCATTCCAACTAATAATGCCAACAGCCTCACTTTCCCAGTCTCTTTATACCCTGGCCACTTGACAATATTTGCTAATACTAAAACTCTGCCGTGATCAACTCTAATTATGTGCTTTCTTTATAAGTCAGATCATTAGAACCAGCTTTTTGGCCTGGCAGGGACCCCTAAGACTGCAACTGTCTGGTCCAATCCCCTCTTTTTTTGTTCTTTTGTATTTTTATCTTAAAATATATAGTATCATTTTTATAGACAAGAAAATTAATGCCCAGGGAGGTTAAGTGATTTGCCAAAAGTTCTTTAACAGTAACAGAGTTATGGCGAATACATGACTGAAACCAAACTTTCTGACCTGCCACTCAAAGACTTCCCTTGTCCATTGCTTGTTTCTGGAGACTAGTCAAAAGCTCAGAACACCAGTTTTTATGTCTCCTTTTTATCACCCTCTATAGCCAGTCCTGTAGATTACCTTCTTCATTTCTCTTGCATTCATCACCACTTTTCTATTCCCAACTCTTCTGTTCTAGTTCAATCTTTCATTACTTCTCTTTGGAAATTTAATTTTAGCCTTCTCCCTGTGGCTCACTTCCAAAGCTATCCCTGCCTCCAGTTAATTCCAATCACCAAGGCCACATTTGCTCTCAGACATAACCTCTGTCATGGAAGTCTCCAGCTCTGAAATTCTGAAGGGATCCTGATTTATGGACAGGTGCCTCCACAGTGTTCAAGGCTGTTAGATGAAAGCCCACTTGATCAGTATAAGTCTTTCTCTAATTGTACTTATACATATGGCTGCTAATTCTAGACTCATTCCCCAAATAACATCCTTTTGGTCACATTATTAGCAAATCATTTATCAACTTGAATTAGCTAAAAAAAACTCAAGAAAATTTCTTAGGTAGGATTTGTAATTTCAGCAGTCTAGACGAAAAGTTGAAATACTCTACTTCTCTATAGGGAGCAGTTCCCAGGGTCACTCAATGTCGTTTTTGCATTTCTACAGATTTTTTTCCCCACAAGAGACTGTTTTCCTTGAAAACAGTAACATATCTTGGTTACTGAATGATTTTCTGTTCAGGGATTTGAACAATGTTTGTCCAAGAGTGAAACTTTTGATCTCAAGACAAAAGTGAGAGTATATGGATTCAAGAGGAATTTTGGAAAGGGTAGATTCTGATGCTCCCTTCTGACTGTCTTTTTTCTCTTTACTTTCTGAATATCTGAGATGAGATTTTCTAGTAAAATAAGAAGACCAACCTTTCAAATTTTTGATAACACATTGATTTACCTTGGATTTCATGGTGAAAATTTATTATCAAATAAGGCTTTTATTTTCCCTCACCCAATTTTCTTCTCATTAAAAATTTATCAAGTTACCAGCCCTTGTTTTAAGGCTTGAAACTGACATTTTGGTTGAAAAGACTTGCAAATGTCCAACTGGCCCATGTGTCCACCTGGCCAAGTAGCATGGGCAGACATTTTCCACATGATTATCTGAAATACTGCTGATATAAACAAAGCAAATTAAAAATAAACACTTCTTATTTTGCCAAGCAAGATGTATGTGTTGAGTTTGCCTAAGAAGGGTGGAGTTTTTAACCAACTAACAATTCTTGAATGAAGAGTTACGTGTCAGATGTCTTGTTAAAACAAAAATCGTATTAAGCCAATAATAGAAACTGATTGAAGTTGATTTAATATATGATTTGCAAATCAGAGTAACATTTTCACTAGGGAGTCAAAAATGTTCCAAACAGGAAAGAACTTCCCAAAATTCTTAGACCCCATCTTATTGGCATTGCCATGGAAAAGGGCTGCAACAGTGTTTATACATTAACAGTTTACCCTGAAACACAGCTTCTAGTCTGAAGTTGGAGTTTCTGTTCCTCGAAACTGACTGCACAGAGATAATTTTTCAAAAAAGCCCAATGCCTAAGGCAAACGGTCTTCACTGTGCTATTACTGGCCTATTGTTTGACTTAAAGGTGACTTTAGGGAACCAGTTTCCTCAGGCCTCAAGGTTCAAAAGAAGATCTCAGGGTATTGGCCTGGTGGGTCTCCCCAGTTCCATGGACCCCAGAAATATGGATTCCAGGATAATTAAAACTGTTTCTCAGACTTAATCCTTCTCTAATTAACTGCCTTTAAGAGACTCAGCTTAAAATATCAAGCCCCTTCTAGCTTCTCAAATGCTTAAATTTCCCTAGCGTGAATAAGGATAAGAAAAAGTACTCTTGATGCAACGTCTGTCTCAGTAGTTCTTGAACTCCAAAATGGCAGTGACTTTGGCTTCCTGAGTGGCTGGGCTCCTGAAGGCAGTGCCATCTTTGACATGGTTGAATATGGGTGGAGTAATTTGGTATTTAGTTTCTTCAGGAAAGAAGAGTGTTAATTTCTTCTAGGACTCAAACCAAGCAAGATCTCAAAGGACCTCTTGGATTTTTGTTTTCGTTTTTACTGTTTTGTATCTGGGTGGATGTTAAGAGACCAAAAGAGGAATCAAAGACTGTTTTTAGAAAGATAAATCATAAAAGACCCTTCTTTTAGGCAAGGACTTTGTGATTTACTTTTTCTTAAATAATTTTCTCTATTCAAATACTTTTACATTTGCCTTATAATTGTTGTAATTTAATATTTGTTGAATGACCTCAATTGATAGGTAGCATGATATGACTTTCTTATTTTAGACCATTAACATTTCTAGGATATACTTTAAAACTATTTAAATGGCTCTGCATGGCTTTTTCGATGGCCTCAATAAAATCTTTCAGAACTTCAATTGTTATAGAATTATCTAGACTTTATAGCAGCTTAACAAATAATAGTGCACACTTACATTTTTACAGGTAATAAAAGAGTGACTCTCAGCCTCTTCCATTACTCACTGTTGGTCTTCCTTGTTTTCCAGTTTTATAACTGGAATAGAAATAATTCCAAATCTCTTAAATCAGTCATGGCATGTGAGCCAACTAAAGGTGTTTGTTAATCTAATAAGAAATGCTTATCCTTTGAATCCTAGATTGTTTTGTGGACATTGTGGTGGGATTTGACATCTCAACTCAGCAGAAAGGGCAGAGTTTGCTTGAAGATCAGTCTTGGATGGGAACCTACCTTCAAGACATCTTACGTGCTGTCAGCTCCCTCAATGGGGTAAGCTGTGAGGTGGGGACAGAGACTCAGGTTAGTATAGCTTTTCAAGTGACAAATGCTATGGAAAAATACTCCCCCAAGTTTGAGATCTTCAGTGAAAATATCCTGAACAGCCTGAAGGATGTAACAGTTAAAGAGCCCTCTCTTCTCACCACAAACCTCCTGAGTTCACTATGGGATGCGTTTCAGAATAAATCAGCTGCTCGAGGAAAGGTAACATGGTTTTATTTTATTTGTTGGTTGATGGTTGCAATGACCTTCTTTTTACTCATCTCTCTTTTTGTGAATATTTTCCTAGGTGGTTCTCTTATTTTCAGATGGATTGGATGATGATGTTGAAAAACTTGAACAAAAATCTGATGAACTTAGAAAAGAAGGTACTGAGTATGGGGGAGGAATGGGAAAGGAATGTTTATTAACTTTATCATCTTAACACTCAACCCTGTCTCTGAAGTTTCCAGGTACTCAAATAACCCTGAATTTTCCAACCTCTCCACTCTGTATGCACTTCTGTATGAACTTCGCAGAGCAAATGGGCCCTGAGAATATTCTGGCGTCTATTTTTCCCTCATGTCATGCCCTACATGTATGGAAGAGAGCAAAATATAAAGTCCTATGCTTTGTCTTGTATTACTATGTTTTTTCTTAAGTTTTCCTGCAGTGTTCCTATCTCCCTTGTCCCGTAGGATCTAATATTGCTTCTTTAGTGTCGGTAAAAGTGGGCGGTACATTTCTCCTACACCAAGAAAGAGGGTGTTAGATTATTTTCTAATAACACTCTTGAAGTTTCCAGAGTTGCAAGCATTGTTGGACAAGTTTACTCATGTTTGGGTTTTTTTTTTTTTAAATCAGCTCCCTCCTTCAGACCAAAGGAGCCCTGGTAGCGTAGTGGTTAAGTGTTTGGCCGCTGACCAAAAGGTCTTCGGTTTGAACCTACAAGCAGCTCTTCTGATGAAAAGACCTGGCAATCTGCTCCCATGAAGATTACAGCCTAGTAGTAGTAGTAGTAGTAGATTACCGCCCCTATGGGGCAGTTCTACTGTGTCCTACAGGGTCGCTATGAGTCAGAATTCACTCAACAGCAACGGGTTTGGTTTTGGTTTCCTTCATACCACAGTTGAAACAACTATGGTGTTTATGAGTTTTTAAAGCTCTTGCACCAGGCTTGGCTTTAGAAACCAATGGCAGTTGGACTTAGTGTCCGTTCTTACTAAAATATGGGTTAGAAGAAAAATGCATCCACGTGTGCTGGTTCGATTAAGAATAGAAATACTCTCCTGTAAGTGGATGCTACTGATGCCCTACCCATATCCCCTTTATAGGCAAGTTCACCCACCTCCCCCACACCCCTGGCTGCTGTGAGTGTTGGCTACTAACAATGCACAGCTCCTTTCTCTGGAGAATTGCCTCTGGCCAATGTAAGACACCTCACCTGGAAGGTTGTGCCCCATGCTACCCGTAGGAATGAATCAGGTAGATTACAAAAAGTTGGATCCATGCCTTAAAATGGCACCAGTGCTGTGGTGCAGTTTATTGCCCAGAGCTCCCCGTGGAATTAGGCTGAAGCTAGACTAGAGTTGACACACATTGTTCAGCAACTTCCCCTGCTTTATCCTGCTTCCCTCCCTTCCTTTCTTCTGAGAGCACTCTCTCAATAAATTATGTGCATCCCAATCCCTGTCTCAGGCTCTGCTTCTACGGAACCTGACATAAGACATCTACCTCCCAGGTTAGTTAATAATAGATGCCGACTAGATTTTGTTGTTTCTGTTTGGTTCTCTCTCCTCAGTCTCAAACAGATTACAGAGTTTTCTCAATTTACAGCTAGTGAGTAAAGATTTTAATTTTACTCTTTATTTACTAAAGATTCCTTCTCTTTAGTCTGTCAGGTCTTCATCTTTTTTCATAAACTGTAGTGGCAATTTTAATGAAGACTGAGAACAAGCCCCTAGAGTTCTTCATTTGGATGGGCAGGTTTTTAATTTTTTTAATTTTAGCTTTTCTTTTGTGGGGGGAAAAGATGGAGCACTGCTACACAACATCAGAGCTTTCTCCAGGAAGTGCTTTGGAATACCCAGATTTCTAAGATCAAGCCTCATTTTCTTTCTTCCAACCACCAAGGAAATCTAATAAATGAGTTTACATTTCAGAAGGTGAATTTTTAATAATGTCCCCAGAAATTAAGAATATTCAAATGGGAGAGATAAAAGGACAATGATTACAATGTTCTCTGAAAAGTGTCAAATGACTCTCAGGGATGCTGACAATATGGATCAAGAGTACCTCTAACCCTGACTTCCCATATTTACACATATGGTTTGAGTTGGTGCTGCACCTTATGACCTGTTGACCTAGGAGAGCCTCCCTAATTTGAGGCCAGGTGAACTGCGCAATCACCACGGAATAAGAGGAGACAAAGAGGAAAGGGTCCCAGATGATGGATGTGGCTTTAGAACTAATCTGAGATTTGAATTCGTTTGCTAATTTTTAAAATTTAAAACCCTAGAATCTACTCAGTGATTCTTTATTCTCTCTTTTTAAAATATTTTCTTCCCTAATGAATTTTTAGGAAATTTAAGATATTGCATTTAAGATCGTGTGACTCACTTATTGGAGTCCCCTGCTCCTGAGAGGAGCAAGATTGGTATCCATCCATCCTGAGAAAAAGCTGTTAACAGAAATAATAATTATATGCACATTTCCTGCAAGTCAATATTCCCATTGTTCTTGTAACTCGTAAATTTTTTACATTTCCTGGAACTTACAAAACAAATCAAATGTGAGATTATTTTCGCTTATAAATATATTGTTGTTGTTAGATACCGTCAAATTGATTTTAGACTCGTAGTGACCCCATGTGACAAAGTAGAACTGCCCCATAGGGTTTTCTAGGCTATAATCTTCACAGGAGTAGGTTGCCAGGTCTCCCCCTCATCACCTCTGGAGCCGTCGGGTAGGTTTGAACCGCCAACCTTTTGATTAACAGCTGGGCACTTAACCATTGTGCCGAGGGCTCCTCCCTTATAAATATACGTGGTTTAAATGTACATGGGTACATTAGCATGCCTTCTCTTGATCATTAAACTCCAAATGATCTACACAGTATTCTTCATTATCTGCCTCTGCTCATACCCACCACCTCTTTACTCCTTGTCCTCATTCTCATTCTTGGAAGAGTGACCAGCTATCTTAGTTTGCATGGGACTGTAAGGTTTCCTAGAATCTGGGATTTTGGGCACTGAAACCAGCAAGTCCCAGGCAAACAAGGACAAGTTGGTCACCCTATTCTTTGGTGTTTCTCTCCTTGGCTCCTCCTCTTTGGCCAACCACTCTATTTGCCTCTTGTAAAACTTGAGCCTCCTCAACATGTCCCTGAAACTTTATTCCCTTCATTCTCCTCTTCATCAACCCCTTGCTTCATTCAAAAATCAGATCATATAAGCATATCATATAAGAAGGCATTCCTGACTCTTGGCCAACTGCTTGAATATTTCTTTATCTACTTCAAGCCATTGGTTCCCAAATCTCATCCAGAAAATTCTTTAGCCATCTGTAATAAAATGAGACAAACGATGCCAATGGAGTCTGGTTTTCTTTGAGCTAAATTTATTCAGTTTATAGGACTGGCCTTTAGTCTGTGATTATGTTCTTATTACATTTTTGTTATTAAAACGTCCTTTGAATGTAAGCTTTGGAATTGTCTGGGTGAAAACCTAACAATACCAGTTGGGCCAGTCGTCTAACCAAGCCTCAGTTTGCTTATTTGTAAAACAGGGCTATAATCGCTCATACCTAGAAGGTATGTTTTGAGGATACAAATAAGATAATGCATCTAAAGCACTTAACCAAGTGCCAGGCACGTGTTGTTGCTGTTAGGTGCCGCTGAGTCAGTTCCAACTCATAGCGACCCTATATACAACAAAACGAAACACTGGTAACAATAAATGATAACACCATGGTTGCTATGGTTACTACCACTATAAAGATTGCCTGGTTTATTATCAACATCATTTAATGTTCTTACTTTGCAAAATAAGTCACTGGCAACTTTGTTAGTTGCTCATTTTTTTCTTTGAAATAGTCTAGTCTATGAAATCCCAAGGTCTGTGAACCACAGCCCTGGGCAATTCCAAATCGAAACCAAACCTGTTGCCGTTGAGTTGATTCTGACTCATGGTGACCCTATAGGACAGAGTAGAACTGCCCGTAGGGTTTCCAAGGCTGTAAATCTTTACGGAAGCAGACTACCGCTTCTTTCTCCCTCTGAGTGGCTGGTGGATTCGAACTGGCAACCTTTCAGTTAGCAGCTGAGTGCTTAACCACTGCAGCACCAGGCTCCTTTCTGGGCAGTTACCAACACCAAACCAAACCATTGCCATTGAGTCTATTCGGACTCATATCTGGGCAGTTAGATGTCATTTATTTCTAATTGCCTGACAATAGATCGGTTACTGTCTTTTATTACTTGTAGTTCCAACTTGATTATGAATTCCTTATGACATCATTTAGAGCTGTGTTTCTTAACTTTAGCATGCATACAAATCTCCTGGGGGTTCGTGAAAATACAAATTCTGATTCAGTATGACTGGGGTGAGGCCTAAGATTCTGCATTTCTGATCAACTCCCAGGTGATGCCAAGGATTCCCATCCGTCTTTGAGTGGCAAAAATTTAGAACACCTGTTAGCTATGTATGTGAGTTTCTCAGTACTTTAGGATACCCTGGAACCCTGGTGGCTCAGTGGCTGACCAAAAGGTTGGCAGTTCGAGTGCACCAGCCCCCACATGAAAACCCTGTGGGGCAGTGGCAGTTCTACTCTGTCCTATAGGGTCGCTATGAGTTGGAATCGACTCAACGGCAGTGAATTTGGTTGTTTTTTTTTTTTTTTTTTGGTTTAGGATGTCCCATGAACCTTTTTTTTTTTTTAACTCATTCTCTCAATTCCAATCATCCGGGAACTGCAGGCTCTGTTACAATTTTCTCTGGCTCCAATCTATTTAGTTTAATGTCATTCCTTTTGTGCTATTATAGTCTTGTCATTTGTCAGTTTTACATCATGTGGTTGGATGAAGAGGACAATGAAATGAGTGCTCTTCTTGAAACTAGAATAACAGTTCCTAGAAAAACGATTTAAATTCATGTGCAAAAAGATTATGCTAACCAAACCCACCTGTCCTGGGGAATTGTTAACTGTCGCCTGTTGTCAGCTACTGTCAAGTGTAACTGGCAGCTATTCAACTGTGTCGAATAGGCCTGAATGCACTCATAACTGTTGCTCTGGACGGAGCTGCTCATTCAAGCGACCTGGACAATCTTCTCCACATTGAGTTTGGGAAAGGATTTGAGTACAGGACACAGCTGACTATTGGAATGAGAGATCTCAGGAGCCGGCTGTCAAAGCAGCTGGTAAGTTATTCAGAAAAGGCTGGTGAATTTAAATTTTCTATTAGTTTTGAATGTAGATTTAATATTTATGCTTGTGAGTTTGAACTCATTCTGTTCATTTTTGGAGCAAAGACAGATTTTTCTAAATTAATGAACAACCTAAATAGGAGGGAGTTTTGAAAGAAATGTAAGATAAAGATGTGTTAAAGCATGTTTAATTTATATGCTTGGCAAAAAAAAGAAAAAAGGAATAAGAAAAATTTCTTTAAATAGCACCTGCAGTCCTGCCCAAATTCCAGTCAACGAGCATACATGCCAGAGAACCCGAGATGCAAAGCTGTGAGCCTGCTGTTCCCTCAGCCAGCCAGTTGTCACATCCCTTGCAGAGCCTAACCATCTGTCACATCTCACCACAGAGTCTAATTATCGTGTTTAAGATGTATATTTCCCCTACAACGTGGCCCGTAAATGAGAGCCGATCACATTTGTAGTTCAACTAGGGGAAGAGCAATCTGCTCCAGTAGTATTGATGGTGGATGTCATAGGCTGTACTTGATGAGTGATTGGAGGATTTTTAAGGGTTGTCTTGATGTTGAGATATTTGCCCTATGATTTGTTTCTAGAACTGACTGGAAGGCAACTAACAACAGCAATGCCTAAATAAGACGCATCTCAATCATATTTCCTTCAAAAACGTATAAGAATTCAAACTAGGATAGTGAAGTGTTACCAAGTTATGCGGCACTGCTTTTATGTTAATAATTTTAAAAAATGGCTAATAATGTGTAATTTGTTAATAACTTATAAAATCTGTGATCAGGATTTCAGAACACTTTCTAATGAAGTGCTAGCTCCTGCTGTTTTCCACCAATAGAATTTGTATATAAATATATATTTAAACACAGTTTGTTCAGTATAGTAATATATAAGTATAATATAATATAAAATATATAAATATAAATACTTAAAGAATATAGAAGTTTTGCTGGAGTTCCTTTCCTATGTGGAGAAGGCATAATATTTTTTGTTTTACAAAATGTATTTTTTCTGTCTACTCCACTTTGAAATCTGTATAGGTAATTCACAGAGTGAGGAAGTTATTCTTTAAAACATGTCTGTTAGTTTTTAGATATCACATAAATAAAACACTGTATATGAAAAACCATAATCAATTTTAGTAATGTCATAGATCAATTTTAATAATAATAGTAATAGATTTGGTGCTATAGGGTTTTGGTGATCCAAAGAAAATTGACATTAAGTTATCCAATATGAAGTCACAGAGTCCATTTGTTTTTATTTGGCTTCACATGTTTCAAGTTTTATTGGTTTTCCTGGAAATTTCAGGAAAAGAGAGAGAGGATTTTATAATGCCATAAAAAGAACATTTATATAATAGGAGACAATTAAAGGTGGGAAATTACTAAATGGTTATCACAAGAGATTTCCATTTTCTCATCACACTAGAATTTAGATGGGAAATGTCTCAGCACAAAGATTGATTCTACCCAACTAAAGTGAAGCATAGCATTTACTGCAAACAGAATTTTCTAAAAATAAATATAGCGAGTTCATTGTAAAAATGCAATGGAATGTGCCAGCTATTTTATGGTACAATACCGTTTGTTCATATGTGTGACTAACTAGTTTCAGGATAACATTTTAAATATATAATACAATTTTTTGGCCAAAGTACAAAGAGAAATATTCTCCCTATGCCCCCACCCTTTATAGCAAATACTTCCAAAATGTTGGATGTGTAGCGGTTATTTCTGAAATTGTATCACAGACAAACTGTTCTGAAGTGTTGATGATTGAACCCAGTTCAGCAATATTACAGACACTGTTTAAATCCTCTAGCATCTAAATTTCACAAAACAGCCTTCACCAGACTGATTCCAGGACAACTAGATGGTACCCAGTTACCACTACTGACTGCTCTGGCCAGGATCACAATAGAGGGTCCTGAACAGAGTGGGAGAAAAATGTAGAACAAAATTCAAATTCACACACACACACACACACACACACACACACACAAACCAGGCTTGCTGGTCTGACAGAGACTGGAAAAACAAGAGTATGGCCCCTGGATACCCTTTTAACTCAGTATTGAAGTCATTCCTAAGGTTCACCCTTCAGCCAAAGATTAGACAGGTCTATAGGGCCAACAATAACACATGTGAGGAACAGGCTTCGTAGTTCAATTCATGCATAGAAGACTAACGGGCACACCAGCCCAAAAGCAAAGAAAAGAAGGAGGAAGGGACAGGAAAACTGAATGAAGGGAAACAGGGAAACCAAGGTGGAGAAGGGGAGAGTGTTGACACATCGAGGGGTGAGCAAGCAATGTCACAAAACAATTTGTGTACTAATTGTTTAATGAGAAACTAATTTGCTCTGTAAACTTTCACCTAAAGCACAATAAAAAAATAAAATAAATAAATAAATTTCACAAAACAGGAATGGAGAAAACAGCATGTGTGCATTTTAGTCCACAGAGTATTTGGAGGCAAAATTATATAGGGTAATCGACAACACCATGGTCAATGCTAGGTTAGGGTGGAGATGGGGGATCATGGTAATAAATTAGTATGGAATGAGTTGGGCTAAACTGATACCATCTGGGGAACCCAAAAACATCTTTTGTCAATTCAGAATTCCTCAAAGGGTGTAGAATGCAGATCACAGGAGGAAAGATGGAAGCAAAAGAATGTCTCACGCATTCTCTCCCACTCAAAAGCGTGGTCGCTTTCATGGTGAACAGGTCTCTGAAACTCCAGTAGAAGTCTCCATCACATGTTGAGTTGTGTGCATGATTTGGGAATCAGTGACAGCAAATGTGATGTATTCTGCATCCTCCCTCAACTCAAGGTCAATGTTGCTGAAAGAACGTGCTGCTGTTTGTTCTGCAAGTGCAGTGGGGGAGATGGCACAATAGGAGTTCCTGGACCACCGGGGAAAAAGGTAATTTAGTTCAGATTCCTGGTTCACTTTATTTGAATGTAGTGTGTCCTTTGGAAATGGGATTAGGTAGATTAAGGGGTGATTTTAACCTCAAAGTAGAGCTTCTGAGGTAAATGTTTTTTTCACTCCTCTTTTCATATATAAAATCAGATTTTTAGAAAAAAAAAAAAAAAGCCTGTTGCCATCGAGTCAATTCTGACTCATAGTGACTCTACAGGACAGAGTAGAACTGCCCCATAGGGTTTCCAAGGAGCGGGTGATGGATTTGAACTGCTGACCTTTACATTAGCAGCTGAGCTCTTAATTTTCCTTGACATTCTGAATAAGAATCTTTTTCAAAAGTTTTTATGGACTTCTCAGGAGAAGCACCTGCCAGGATCCTTGATTATCCAGTGTTCTGGAAGTGATGACAATGATGCAGAAAAATCAACTGTGCTCCCTCATGTTGAATAATGAAAGCCTCCTCAATATCAACAACTCATTTTAATTGCCATTTTGAAATATACAGCTATGTAATCACAGCTATATATTTACAAAATCAAGTAGAGAATATTCTGCCTATTCTGGTGAAAATAAGCTAGAGAAGCTCACTCTATCAGAGCAAAAGATACTCAGATATTTTATTCAGCTTTACCAGGCAAAAATATTGTCACAGTTTACAAACAAAATCAGGCCGATCATAAAAAACAGTAACCAGGATTGATTCATATATTCCCTAACCCCCCCCCCAAAAAATTTGTGTACCCTTATGTAAAAACATGATTTTGGTCTTTAGGAAATGTTGAAATATGTATAAACATACAATGGATGTGTTTAAAATAATGATTTCAATACTGTTTGTTTACATGTATGTTTAGTTTTTGGAATAATTTATAGATGCCAGTATAACCTCCAAATCACTATAGCTGTGTCTCTGGAGAAAGTTTTTGTGCTAATTATTTCCTGAATGCTTCAATTTCATGTACAGAGGGTGTTAGATTTAAAAAAAAAAAAAAAAAAAAAAACAAGGCTCAGAAAGAATGGGAGGAAAACGTGTGGTCTTATTCCATGTGTAGCATAAATCCTAAAAAAGATTTTTTAAATTAAAGACAATAATTTTAACCTGTCAGAGGCAAATATAGCTGTGTTCGTTTGAACATGTGTTTGAAAAGAAACTCCATCCCTGTGATTAACCCCTGAGAGAGTCGTAGACAATATCATGATTCACACACGCCCGCGCGCGTGCACCCACACACGATATCTTGAGTTATCTGGATACTTGTCTCAGTAGCCCATTTCTTTATATATGCATAAATGCAACCTTGATTTGAAAGTGGGAGAGAAGTTTTTCAAACTCTTATTACTCCACATGAGATAAACCTGTAAAGTTGAAGAATGTTGCTTGATTACCTTTGTTTGGGGTCAAGGGAATACTAATGTTTTCCCCCTTTTCTTATTTCCAGGGACTTCTAGGCCTTAAAGGCAGTGAAGGCTACCTAGGAGAAGAGGGTATTATTGTAAGTCAATTTTTTTTTCAGATCCATCTACTCCTAGAAACACATTTACAATATGGTATCACTTGCATCAATTCAAAGAAAAACAATAAAGGCCAGAGTCTAAGGATTTATGTGCAAAATCTCTGCTTTTTCCTGAGCCCAGCCATGTTTTGCTTCCGGTAGTTATTAGTGGTTTATTAACCTCTTTGACCATTCACCAACATTGCACAATGAACTCAACGCAAAAATTATCCCCTTCATCAGGAGAGTCAAACCACAGCCATCTCCCCATTTCTGGCCCATTTTACACAGGTAAACCCACTCCTCACATTGATAAAGGACCTTACTGTTTCTTGCATTCATCTCTCCATCTGTCCATCCATCCATCCATCCATACATCCATCCATCCACCCATTCTTCCATTTAACAATTATACATTAAACGTCTTACCATTTGGTACAGTATTTATCAAAGACCTAACTCATTAAAGCATTAGTCAGTTCATTTATTCATTAAAAACCTCTATATCAAGTATCTTACCAGGCACAATGGTAGGCCCTAGAAATAAGAAAAGTAAAAAAAAAGAAAAAATACTGTTCCTATCTCAGGTAACTTCCAGACTAGCAAAAAGGCAAATGTGAAAACAGTGGTTACAGTTGTTATACAGAGGGCTATGATAAAGGTACAAAGAGGTGCAAGGGAAAGTGGCAGAATAAGACCTAACGGCCTCATGTAACAGCCTTGGGTGAGAGTCAGAACATAAGAGAGAAAGGCTGCAGGAAAGGGGTAATGCTTGGGCAGATGCCTGAACAAAGAATAAGAATCTCTCCAAGCAAAGTATGTGGGGAAGAACATTCTACTACAGAAGGAACAGTGTGTTCAAGGGCATGTAATTGAGTCAGATAATGGTGTGTTTTCTGCAGGGCTTCAAACCGGTTCTTCCTTGTTCAGTCATGGCCAAGGAAGCGAAACTGGAGCAGACCAGAATTTTCAAAATTCGTGTGAACCAGAACGGGAAAAATTACAGCTGGAAGCCCTGCTGGAAACTTAATCTCCCTCTTAGAAAACAAGGGAGGCATATGCATTGCATAGCAACCAAATCTCTTGCCTGTGGGATTTTGAGCAGAGTTGGAAACAGCGGTGCCCCGCTCAAGGACTGCAGCTGACCATACTGCCAATCATCCAGTTTCACACATCAAGCTCCTGAAAGGGCTCACTATGCCTCTTCCGAGTCTCCCATTCCAGGGTTTCCACTGTAATTTTTCCTATTCTGGTTATTGCTCCAGATCACTCAAATTTTAAACATCTGGGTCTCTTCTGGTTTTGCTTCATCAGCCATGACTGAACTGGTTCAAACTGGTTTGAAGCCCTGGATTTCAGAATGCATGTGGGTCCACATGGCTGGGATACAGAGCACAGCACAGGGAGGTTACATGGTGGACAGGACCCAGAGTTTTAAGAGTCTCGAGTATGCTGCAGAAGAATTTGTATTGTGTCTTCTAGCTGATTGGCAGTCACTAAATAGTGTTAAGCATAGGGGTGATGATGGGGGTGTGGTTTAGAAAGCTTGCTCAGGCAACATTTTGGATACTGATAAGGCATGGGTAGCATGTAGAAGTCTCACTGTAGGCCAGATGCGAGACAAAGAAGTCTCCTAATCTTGGCTTGGGACAGCATGAATAGATATGTTAAGGAGGTTGAATGGACCTAACTTTCTGACCACTTGGGAAGAGAAAAGCTGAGGATGATGTCCTTGTTTCAGCTAACAAGACTACACAGATTGTGGTGGGGCTCAGCGATACAAGAACCGCAGGAGGAGTATTTGATTTGAGAAAGATGAATTTTGATCTAGAAGTCATGCCTCTTGTCTAGATCACATCTGGATCATCCTTCTCTGATGTCTCCTCAATTCTTCAATATCTATTCCTGGAATACCTCCTCAAATCTTGAGAATAGAGTTTAGTTGCCAGTTATTTGTATCCGTGTCATATTTAGATAGTACCTCACTCAAGGCGATGTGAGGTGGAGTCAAAAACAAAGTGTTGTCATTAGAGTAGTTCTGATTTTCTTCCATTCTTGGTTTTTATGAGCATGAATTATGGATTGTAAACAATGAACAGTCACACATTTTTTCCCAACAAATAATTTTTCAAGTTTCCAAGACTACAATAAGAAAAGCTTATCTAGATGTGTGCTTTTTCTTAGGGAGAAAGAGGAGCCCTGGGACCAGTGGGAGAGCAAGGTGATACAGGGTGCTATGGTGCCAAAGGTCCTAAGGTAAGAGTCGCGTAAAACATTGTGAAGTCTTCTCAACATTAATTTCATTTTCCTACACTAACCACTGTTGTCCTTTCTATTTTCAGGGAGTCAGGGGATTCACTGGACAGGAGGTATGCTACCAGACACGTTCATTTATCTGCCCGTCTGTCATCTAGAATATTTTTATTTTTTCAGATTATTGGCCAGTAGGTGGTACACCTGAAGTTTCTGTTGTAAACATCATGTTTTTTGACCTTCATTTTTTTTATTGCCAGCCATTTCATTTTCTTTATTCCTGTGTTTGATTGCAGGTGATGTATCATATTTGTTGACAGTTTCTATTACTGAGTAATCTTTGATATTACCCAGGGCCAGCCTAACAATGAGATTGTATGTAGAACATAAACTAGGCTGTTTTTGTTTGGTGTCTGACTTCTTTTCACATAGATGGGATGTGCACTATTCTGATCTCATCTGTCTTTTCAGGGAGAAGCTGGGGAAAGTGGAATTGATGGAATAAATGGAGAAGAGGTAAAGCCTTCTCCTTGTACCACAGGAAACTTCTGAGTGATTTCCCATTACAGAAATGGAAATTTGAGTTTTTTCTCTTTTTCTTTTTTAGGGTGACAGTGGTCTTCCTGGACAAAAAGGAGAAAAGGGTGATGAAGGATCTCAGGTAGGGATTGAAAAAAGGGACAACACTGGGAAATAAAGGTGTGATTAATGGACTAGAATAGCTATCCTCGGTGTATGAGTAGCTGTTGCCCCAGATTGCTTGTAACAAGCAACCACAAAGCCTCAGTTGCATACAGAAGTAAATATGTAGTTCTTAGGTGTCTGAAGGGTTCAGCTAATCTAGGCTGACTTTGACTCGTATGTCTGTTCATTGACTGAGGACTTTGTTCCGCATGTCTCTTATCTTCCTCCTGGTCCCAGAGAACTAGTCTGGCCATGTTGGCCATGTCCTTTCCATGGATATGGCAGAAACACAGCAGAATAAGAAGAAACACTAGATGACCTCTTGAAGCCTACACTTGGAAATCTTACACTTTCACTTTTGTCTCTCTCTTTGGCTAAATCAAGTCACAAGGCCAAACTCAGGGGTGGAGAATTTTGCCCAGACACAGCGGTTGGTGGTGTTGTTAGTTGCCATCAAAGCTGTTCCAATTCATGGTGACCCCAGTGTGCAGAGTAGAACTGTCCTCCAAAGAATTTTCAAGTCTGTGACCTTTCGGAGGCAGATTGCCAGGCCTGTCTTCCAAGGACCTCTGGATGGGTTCAAACCGCCAACCTTTAGGTTAGTAGTCAAGCACTTTACTGTTTGTGCCACCCCAGGACTCCTTGCCACAGTGGGAAGACACTAAAAAGTGAAGAACTGCAGACATTAATGAAAAGCAGCTACTGCACAAAGGGCGGCAGTTAGAGGTATAGACAAGGGTCTGAGGTACAGGGTGGCACATTGACGGGTGCACACCACTCATTCATCTAGAACAAATGGCAGCTGTAGCCATACTTCCATCATCAAATTTATTGATTTTTAGTGTGTGAACAAGTGAATCAAAAGCCCACTTTCCGGTTGACACAACCACCTTGGGCAAATCGGCTAATCTTTCTGAATTGCAGCTGCCTCATTAAAAGAAAGAGAATCAGCCATATGTGATTCATAAAGCAGTTGTAAGAATTAAACAAGATAACAGATGTGTCTACACCACAGATTTTACCACTGGGGCAAATAATTGAGGTCACTCTTAAATTATTCATATAATACCTAAAACTAATTTTGGTTGTTCTTCTTTCCAGTTTAAGAATAATTAATCTCAGTAGGAAAAATGTTTAATTCTTCAAAGCAGGAAAAAGATTTTACGCTCTTTGTTTGTTTGTATTAATTTTAGTAAAAATCCTTGACCTGTTCTCATTCTCATTTGTATTAACTTTAGGGCAGCCCAGGGAAGAGAGGGGTTTCTGGTGACCACGGAGCAAAGGGCCTGCGAGGAGATCCTGTAAGTACTTGGGCTGCGTGGCCTGTAAATTAGTCTGGGCTTGGTTCCCATCAGCACTTCTGATAGGGAGAGGACAACAATAACAAACCCGTTGCCGTTGAGTCAGTTCCAACTCATGACGACCCCGTGTTACAGAATAGAACTGTTCCATAGACTTTTCTTGGCTGTAATCTTAAGGGAGGCAGATCACCAGACTTTTGTGCAGCTGCTGGGTGGGTTTGAACCTCCAACCTTTCTGTTAGCAGCCCGTCACGAACCACTTGTGCCACCCAGAAAGACATCCCCATTTAAAGGTATTACAATAAAATAAAATAAAAAAACCCAAACCCGTTGCCATCGAGTCAATTCCAACTCACAGCGATCCTACTGGAGAGAGTAGAACTGCCCCAGAGGGTTTCCAAAGGGTGCCTGGTGGATTCCGACTGTCGACCTTTTGGTTAGCAGCCGTAGCTCTGAACCACTACGCCACCAGGGTTTCCAAATCTAAATCCTCACAGGCACCACTGTTGTAGAATTTTAAAAGCAAGCAGCTAGCACTAGACCTTCTTCATGTACCAGAGGAGTATGGAGAAGGAGAAGCCCTTGCACATCATTTGCACACGTATTTTTCAAGAATACCTGTCAGAATTGTCCTTGGGCCTCAGAGCTTTGAAGGAATTCCAGTCCACTCCATTGTCTTCCTTCTGAGTACCTCAAAATATGGAATGAATGGAAGAAACAAAAGTCACTACTTTTTTTTTTTTCTATTCTCCAAGAGTCTTTCTCCATTGAGAATATTAGCCTCATTTCCCTGAATCCAAGCTAACTAGGATTATGTTAGGCAAAACTTTTGACACAGAGGCACCTGCTCTCCCAGTTGAGCAGGTATATCACACACCAACATTGGGAGTGTGCCAAGTCTGGTGGAACATCAGTACTATCGGACTTTCATCACCATGCCTACCCTTAAATAAGCCTCCAAAACTTAAATGAATTAGCACTTGTTTGTTGTTGTTTTTATTTTAGTATTAATTTTATTTTGGTGAAATATATAAAACAAAAAGTCTGCGGTCTGAACCATTTTTAAGTGTACAGTTCAGCAGCATTAATTACAGTCACCATACACTTAGGTTTGTTTTTAAACTTTTATTGAACTGTAACATACAGCAGAAAAGTGCACAAATGTCAAATGGATAGCTTGATGGATGTGAATACACCTGTATAGCCATCATTCAGGTCGAGAAATAGAACATTACCAGCATCCCAGAAGCCCCTGTGCCTCTCCAGGCACTACCTCCCCACCCCAAGATAATTGTTATCCTAACACCACAAATTAGTTTTATCTGTTGTTGACCTTTATGTAAATGGAATCTTGTAACACGACTCTTCTGTTTCTGACTCCTTTTGCTCCACTTTATGCCTGTGAAATTCATTCATAACAATAATTCATTCTATCTCATTGCTGTAGAGTAGTCCATTGTGTGAATGTACCACTGTTTATTTACCAATTATAGTCTTGATAGATATTTGGGTTGTTCTCAGTTTTTGCTATTATGAATAGTACGCTATGGACATTCTTGTACCTGGTACACATATGTACGTATTTCTAGTAGGTATATACTTAGGAGTAGAATTTCTGGATCATGATGTTTATTCTTATATTCAGCTTAAGTATTTACAACCAAACAGCCTTCCAAAAAATTTGTATTAATTTATATTCCCACCAACAGTGTATGAGAGCAGTGTACTACACACTCATCAGAATGGCTAAAACTTTAAAAACTTACAATACTAAGTGCTGATGAGGATGTGGAGCAACCAGGAATCTCACAGACCTTAGCCTTTAATAACTCCTCCTTCAGTATACAATGTGTTGATCAGAGAAAGAATTTAATGCAATATGTATTGGCAAATGCATATGTTAAGTATGCATTAGAGAGAACTTTATGTAAAAGCAGAGGAATTTTCACTTGAAGACAACATAGTTTACTAAGTGAAATCTTCTGATAATAGTCTAATGAACTGAGAGTTTTCAAGTAACTTCAAAACTACCTAATTTATCCTTTCCCACAAATAAGGATAATTAAGAAATAAAAGTTCACATACAAGGCATTTCAGTCGTCTGTATATGGTGACCATTTGGGTGTTGTTTGGGGTTGCATCTTTTAGGGTATTACTATGCAATTGCCATTTGCTTTGCTCAGAATTCCCTTTGATTTGTCTGCTATAGAATATGTGATTATATAAGATATTCAAAAGAACCTGAGTAATGTCAAAAGTTTTTTTTTTTAATTTAAAAAGAAATGTTCTATGACCTCAAGGTGGGTGAAAAATCAACCCACTAGAGCCTCTCTGCAAAGGGCTGTTTGTCATAAAACTCACTTTAGGTGATTTTCCCTTATAGATAATTCTTCTCACCCACTTGAGAAAACAGATCTCAAATCTGGGACAACTGTACTTTTTTACATGTGCTTGTGTGGGTTACTATTTCAGGAGAAATCTGGGAGGGTAAGATTGATGGAATAAATAAACTGGCGTACATTCATGGAACACACACGTGATCAGCTTATTCATAGGAACATGTGCAAATGGCACAAATTCCTGAAAATCTAAGCTTATTCAGAAAGGATTTCTGATGTCATGAAAGCTAGCTTAGGTATTTGCAATCTCCCATTTTCACCTGAAGATAAATAAATCTCACTGAGCTCGATCATTTGTTTGATTTATAGAGGTTAGTAAGGGTCACCATTCTAAAATAGTTTAGTATTAGAGACCCATGTGTAATCATAAATTTGTATTAGATGATGCTCTTTTGTCCAGTTCCATAGAAAGAGAAATACAGGACCAGTTCATATTCAGAATGACCAAACAACTTGTTTACATGCAAATTGGGTTGTTCTGTTCTGTAAAATGTGCTGATGTATGATTCTTTTTGATGTCATCTCTTTGATCAAATAGTTTAGAGTTGAACTACAATAAGAGTCTTACATGTCCAGTGGAATAAAATTCTAGACTTCACAATACCTTCCTTTTCCTGACTCACCTTTCTCACCAAAACACATTTCTCTTATTTTGTAAATTAGGTCTGCCCTGCTTGAAGAACTTAACAGACAAGTATTTAAACTTAAGGGGAAAGAAAGAGTATAAAATAATCTTTGGCTTTTTGTATATCAGGGAAAGAAATAATTAAATTTTCACATAAGTTTTAGTAATATTAGTTATATAAAGTAAAACCCAAGCCCATTTTTTCATCCATTAGCCTATAAGCTCTGTAAGTGCAGAAAGTATTTGTTTAAATAGCTCACTGAGTATCTGGAGCAATGTTATGTCCCTGTTGGTGATCACGAATTGCTTATTGATTGACAAAGGTAGTCTGGGCTGCTATCAGCCAAACAGTCAGGCAGGTAGTACTCAGCAGGACTGGGTAATTGTTGCCCTTCTCAATTTATTGGAACATTGACTGCAATGAGTGGATCAATTGATTGTCTTGGCATCATGGTGACAAGGCTCTGTTTGTGGTCCTAACTACCCACATTAGAAAGCCTTCAGTTTGGTTGGCTAAGGATAGTATATCCCACAATATGTACTTGTTTTCAATGAGTTCCTGCTGGAATATTTGTATGAATGGCAGATAAAAAAATCAAGATTTCAGGATTTCTTGGGGATGGGGGGACAGAAAAGTAAGGGTATGTAGACAGAAGTAGAAGGCAGCCAGGTGTCCAGGAAAAGGAGAAAGTGGGCGGCAGGTATATCCTTGGTATTACTCAGTGTTCTTATGTTACTGTGGAGAAACCCATTACAAACTTTTTCTTTCTCCCAAGGGTAGGTGAGAGTAAAAGCTATTAACCCTCAACTACAAATTTGCCTAGGCCGCAAGGAAAAAGAGGGAAAGCTAAGAGAAGAGGTGGCACAAGAAAGGACACCTCTGGACCTAGGATAAGAATTGTCATAAACACAAGTCATGTCACCATAGCTTCCCTTGACTGTGCCTTCTATAGTGAGTGCTTGCTTTCTCCTCACACACTCACCTTAAGTCTCCATTCTCATCCCGATAACGCAAAGCACAGGAGGAAAAGAAAGCACGTGAAAGCCATTTGTGATTTTAACCTATTTTATGCTTTCAAATGGCTTGGACTTCTCATCAGCTTCCTTTGGGGTAGTAAACTGTGTTCTATATGTTACATTTTTAAGGAGAAATGTTCAATACCTCTTAATTTTTTCTCTTTATTGTCTATTTTTAGGGAGCTCCTGGATTTGACAATAGCATACAAGGACCCAAGGGCTTGAAAGGAGAAAGCGGAAGACAAGTAATTATGTGGGCATTTGAGTATTGACTTGTAAAATGATGATGGAACAACTATGAAGCTCAAGTACTTTGTGATGGATTATGAATTGCATGATAAAGAATTTGGAATCATAATGGGTATACTTGATATATAAAAACTATTTCTAGGAGCAAATAGATCTTTTACAACTACTTGTCTGCTACTCTGGGATTCAAGAAACATTCTCTTCTTTTTCCTCTAAATTTGTGGTGAGTTGCTTCATCAAGCCATACCCTTGAGGTCTTCATTCATGAATGCAAACATCTAAATTCTAACTAAAATGTAGAGCTATCTGATAGAAATCTACTAGCCACAGAGTTTTGGCCTTCCCACTATCCAGAAAACACATACCCTATAAAGGCGTTGTATTATTGGTAGTACATTGTAAGGACAAGATCTGGTAGATCTGTATGGCCCACACCCTAGAGGCAAGTCTCTTAGAATTAATCTCATGAATCTTGCAAGTCACAATTTGTTCATCCTAACCTGTTTTTCAGGATTTATAAAAATAGTTATTTGTCTGGAAAATGTGTGCCTCTGGATCTTGATTAGGAAGTTTCCTTCATGACTCCACTGAGGGAAGAGCTCTGATATGGTGAAAAGAACTTTGCTTTGGGGATAGACCTACATCCTGTCTCCTGCTCTACCCCTTACCAGCTGTATAGTCTTGAGCCACTTTCTGTAAACCTCAGTTTTCTCATCTGCAAAATGAGATGAGTAAGTTATTTTGAAGGTTATGATGTGGATTCAATGACCCATTCTGTCATATCATAAGCATGCAGTAAATGTTACCTGCTATTGTTATTACATCAGAAATATGTCTCACAGCAGAGTCATAAATTATGTCCTCCTTTAGTACCTTGAGAAGGCTTGTATTAAGAGATTTTATTCACAAGGGTGTTAATCTACACAGGTTAGCCCAAAGGAGCAAGAAATCCAAAGACAGAAATTCAAAACAGTAGTAGCCATGCCCTTGACATGTACCATGCTTCAGTGAACACATAGCCTATGTGCCAACACAATGGGGACAACAATTTGAATACTCTGTGACATGCACCCTAAATACAAGTTAGACAGTGGTTATAAAAGATGAAGCCATGTTGTTAGCATTTTTGTCCTGCCGTTCCTCATTACCCAGAGATGTGATTTTTGACCACTGGGAGTAATGCCATGTTCCCAAAGGAAAACAATTCTCTCCTTGGCATATGCCTATCCATCCTCCGTAGAACACTCCAAGCTAATATTAAAGAGGAAATGTTTAATGCTGTGTAATTATTGTCACACATCTTCTTGCTCCCTTCACAGGGTAGAAGAGGCTGGCCAGGCCCCCCTGGAACACCAGGCTCCAGAAGAAAGACAGTAAGAGCCCTTCTAGACAAGGAAACCCACTGCTCCACTAACCTATTTTGTGATGAAAATGGTTGATTGTGGGGAGTGGGTGGGATGGTGCCACTGGGACTCCCTACCTTGGAGAAACTGACTTGAGAGAGCTCTCGGAACAAGGCTGGCAAAGGACTTGGGGGAAAAGCCCATGAAGTTGAGGGAAGAAGGTGCTGGCTGCAGGAATAATTATCAATCGAGAGAGAACTGGGCAAAGAGAACAGAACAGCAGCCAACTAGGGGAAAAGTGATCCGAGCCTGCCCTTCTCACTAGGCTAACTGAAGTTGCCAGTGATGTTAAGTCCAAACTCATTCCTCTGCCAATGTTATGCTACTTAGAAAATTCGGTCCTGGCGTAGACATATTGAAGAGTGAGATTAGGTTACTTATTTATTGAACACTTTTGGATTTTTTGTTTGTTTTTTCTGTTGTTATTTTTGCAAGAGTACTTTAAAAAATATTCCTGTGCTTGACTACTTGGAAAATCACAGAGCTTATGGAGGAAAATCTTTAGCCACTAACAAAAGAAAGAAAGACAACATTAATGAAATATACTTAAATGCTTGCACTGGGCTCTAAATTAGACCTGTCTTTTCTCATTTTGCAATATTTTCTTTCCTTCTTTATTTAGTTTGTTAACCAAGCTTCTCCAACTTCTTCCACCTCCCCCCACCCCCAAATAAATGTTTTAAAACTGAGCACAAAAAACTAGTTTGGTATATTGCATTTATTATGCACTGTATTTTCTGAGCAGAAGAAGTTCATAGAACCAGCTATTTATGCCCCGCCAAGAGAATATTTTTGTATTTTGGAACACACCTCCCTCTTATTTTCAAGGCATAGAAAAAGGAAATGAGAACATATATTTAAAATGTGCATAATTTGATTTCTGGGAAAGCACTTTACTAATGATGTTTTAATGCATCTAAGGATAACGAAATGCATTTGCTATTCATTTTACTTCCAAAAAGGGTGTAGCCAGCTTACAACCCCTGGAAAATATTTTCAACCTAAGCAATATCACTCAGGAAAGCCTTGCATGTGAGGATGTACGTTTGTTTACTTGTTTGTTTTATAGAGGCTATAGCCTCCCTAGAGGCTAATACAGTGTCTCCATGTACTATTTAAACTACACAACTTCTGATAAATATGACCCCTGCCTTGGGTAATAGATTCAGAAGTATCATTAAGAAATAAAACTGGAACTTTCAGTAAAAGATGGCAAAGAGCATTTTTTACATTATTCCCCTTTTGTAAAACTCACCAGAAACAACAAAAGAAATTATAAATAGAGAAAGAATAGCCACAACCTCAAGCCACAAATGATGACAATACCAACCAACTATTCTTAAGTCTGAACGTTAATGAGAGAGGATTTGGAGAGCTGACATATGTTACCTCAGACCTCAAACAGGAATCAGATTTCACTAAAAGTAACTGCAAAAGTCCTGAAAGAGCTGGTGGGTAAAACCCAGGGTTACCCCAGATTGTGAGAAGAGCAGGGAATATATCTATAGAAACACAAGTTTAGCAGAGGAAGGTATAAATAATGTGAAGATGAACAATATTCCGTTTGTATTATTTTCAACTAGAAACCTAGGCCATGGAGGCTGCCAACAATGAGGGAAGAGGAAGCAGTGACCACCACAACAGAGAAATTTACTTACAACACAGAGAAACTTACTTATGGGACTTGGTGTGAGCTCCATGAATCTCTTAAATGCCAAAAGCTGAAGAGAGATATAGCCCTAATGTAGAAGAAATAATTTGATGAGAAGATATTTGAGATAACATATATATATCAAAGCTACTGACTCAATTCCAGCTCACCGCTCATATAATTAATTAGAAAGCCCACTTCAAAGATGGTTAATTATCAGAAAGAGGTAGCTTAGGACATATGCATAGAAACTGCAAGAGAAGAGGAGAAAAAAATTATCAGGAAAATGTAGGTAAATCCTCATTAGAAGGGTAATTATTCAAGGAAACAGTAGAAGAATTCTGGCAACTAGTTCTATAAAGTCTCAAAGAAATGAAGACAACATGACTGCTCTACAAAAGAATACAAAAAACTGACAAGACAATAGAAAGTGGAGAAAAGCAAGCTGGTAGTACTGGGAAAGCAATGGAAAAGAAAAAGTAGAGATGTAAGACATATTAGAAGCAACAACAAAAAATAGCATAAACATGACTAAAAATACAGTTGAGTATGAGAAGCAAGAAGCAAGGAAGACAATGGTAGAAATGGAATATCATCAACAGACAGCCAACTCATCAGAGTTTTGAAGAAACAGACCTCTAACCCTCTTCAAAAATACACAGTTTCCTAGATAACAGAGGGCTTTTGACTAAAATATGAATACCAGAATTGAAAGTCTGCAATACTAGTCTCTCATAGAATTTTTACCTGAACATCTCAAATTTCCATCAAGATAATGCTGTCTGATGTTTATTGAATTGTTGCAAATCCTAGATGCCACTCTTGCTATGACCTTACTGAGAGTTCCTAAATTATACATTAAAATGTCTTTGTTTCTTGATTCTCATAGATACGAAATATTGATCTGAAATATACCCTAACCTTACATGTCAGACCAAATGAGAGTAGCTGGAAAAATCCACTTGATTGTGTAACACCATTATTTTGATTGGATGTTTTATTAATATACTGAATTGACCAGCAATGAGAAATCTGAAGGGGAAATTAAGCAGACAATTTCATTTCAATAGTATCTAAGAGAATAAGATACCTAGGGATAGATCTAACCAGGGATGTGAAAGACTTATACAATGAAAATTATAATACACTGTTAAAAGAGATTAAGGAAGAATTAAATAAATGGAAAGATGTTCCATGTTCATGGATTGGAAAATTTGATATTGTTAAGATGTTAATACTACCTAAACCGATCTATAGATTCAATGCAATCCTCATCAAAATTCCAACAGCCTTCTTTACAGAAATGGAAAAATTAATCCTCAACTTTATGTGGAATGGCAAGAGGCCCCAAATAGCTAAAGCAATGCTGAAAGAGAAGGACAAAGTAGGAGGATTCACATTTCTTGATTTTAAAACATATTATACAGCTACAGTAATCAAAACAACCTGGTACTGGTATAACAATAGACAGACCAATGAAATAGAATTGAAAGTCCAGAAATCAACCCACACACGTAGGGGCAACTGATTTTTGACAAAAGTGCTAAGTCCATTCAATGGGGAAAAAAGAGTCTCTCAATAAGTGGTGGTGGGAAAATTGGATCTCCACATGCAGAAAAATGAATCTGGATACATTACTAAACAAAAACCCATACCAAACCCATTGCCATTGAGTTGATTCCAATTTAACACCCCACACAAAAACAAATTCAAAATGGAATACAAGCCTAAATGTTAAAACTAAAGCCATAAAATTCTTAGAAGGGCAACGGGCCTTACTTTTAATAGTGGATTATCTAATATAATAACAAGAGCACAAACAGCAAAAGATCAAATAAACGGGACCTCATAAAAATTAAAAACTTTCATTCTTCAAAAGACTTTACCAAAAAGGTGGAAAGACAAACTACCAACTTGGAGAATATCTTCAGAAACCACATCTGATAAGAATCTCGTAACCAAAATATATATAAAACTTCGACGACTTAACAGCAAAAGACAAATAACCTAATCATAAAATGGGCAAAGAACTTGAATAGACATTTAACCAAACAGGACATTCAAATGACCACCGAACACATGAAAACATACTCAATGTCATCAGCCATCAGAGAGATGCAAATCAAAATCACAATGAGGTACCATTTCACTTTAAGATAAAAAAAAAAGGACAATAATAAATGTTGGCAAGGATGTGGGGAAACTGGAACACTTATCCATTGCTGGTGGGAATGCAAAATATATAGCCATTGTGGAAAACAGTGTGGCGGTTCCTAAAAATAAAAATTCCACTCCTAGATATATATCCAAAAGACTTGAAAGCAGAGACTCAAACAGATAGTTATATACCAGTGTTCACTGTAGCACTATTCACAATAGCCAAAAGATGGAAACAACCTAAATGCGCATCTATAGAAGAATGGGTAAACAAAATCTGGTACATACATACAATGGACTACTACTCAGCGAGTAGGAGAAATGAAGTCTCGATACATGCTGCAATGTTGATGGAGCTGGAAGACATTATGCTGAGTGAACGAAGTCAATCACAAAAGGACAAACATTGTATGACCTCACTTATATAAAAAGTCATGAAAAGGCAAATGTGTAGAGACCAAAGTTTATTAGTGCTTACAAGAGGTGGAAGGGAAGCGTAAGGGGTGGGAGGTTATTACTTATAGAGTACTGAGTTTCTGTTTACATTGATGGAAAAATCACACTGATTAAGGGTAGGGTTGTGCAGCTGATTAATGTAATTACTGTCAATGAGTTGTACAACTGTAAAAAGTTGAATTGGCAAAAGTTATGTGATAGATATATTTATAACAACAACCCAAAAAAAGTAGCTGCTGAGGCTGCTTATATACAACCAAACACCTCATGTGATTTGTTGCCTTGGTTTGGAGGATTAGGGTCATGGTTTCATGGAACATCCCACTTAATCGGCCTAATAACATGTTTAGTGCTTGTGTTCTACCTCCTAGTTTGTTGTGTAATGCCTGGGGGTTTTAAAAGCTTGCAAGTGGCCATCCAAGGTACAACAATTGGCCTCTATTCACCTGGAGCAACAGAGGAAGAAGGCAAGTCAGGAATAGGAGGAGGATATGGAATATGTGGCTAACTGCCTCTATGAACAACTGCCTCTTTTGCCATGAGACCAGAAGAACAAGTTGGTGCCCAACTACCATTACTGAACAGTATGATTAAAGTTTCTGTAGAAGAATCCTGATCAAAAGAGGGAAAATGCAGAACAGAATTTCAAATTCTGATAGACTCCAGACTTTCTGGAGCCACGGAGACTGGATGGACTCTGAAACTATTGCCCTGAGATAATCTTTAAACCTTAAATTAAAAATATCCTCTGAAGTCTTCTTTAAAACAAACAGTAGTTTAGCTTAACTAGTAAAGAATTTCTACCTTGAGCGTTGTGCTCTTTTAAGATCTATCTATATGGGATGAAATTGACAACGGCAAATCAAAAGATTAGATAGGAAACTTGGGAGACAGTGAGTTTATGTTAATGGGGCGGAACAACTCTGGAAAGGAGGGTGAGAATGGTTGCACAACTCGAAGAATGTAATCAGTGTCACTGAATTGTACCTGTAGAAATTGTTGAATTGGTGCATGTTCTGCTGTGTATATTCTCAACAACAAAAATAAAATAAATTATAATATGTATATATGTGTATGTGTGTGTATATGCTGAATTGAGTAGTTTTCAGATGCTTAGGATGGTTTTTTCATTTCCAAATGCCAAAAGCTGAAAGAAGATATATATTATTTGACTTTTTCTGGATAAAACTAAAGTCTGGCTGTCTTAGGTTCTATATTTAATTTATAATAAAGTTCACGGAGTCAGTTCTCTCAGTTTTTCCTCTGGCTTCCTGCCCTTTGGCCACTGCATTCCTGGTTTCTGGCTTACTTGGTAGTGCTTGGAGAAAATGAAAAGAAATAAAATTCAAGTCAGTCAATTTTACAGCTTGTCAACAGCTCTAGTAAAAGTTTAGTGGAGAACAACTTATTGGCCACAATCTGTTTTCATAAGTATCTGTAGAATTCAATTGTCAATGATATCAATTACCTATTGCCCTCGGATAGAAAGTGAGAGTTGGCAGCATTTTGCTTTCATGGTGCAGAAAATAATTGAATGCTTTAAGTAGTATGTGGGAACTTTTTATATGTCAGTGCCTTAAGGTGTCTGTTACTAATTTAAATCAAATTTTTAAAAAGCTATTTTTCAGAGTTACTGATATTACCCCTTTTTCTTCTATTTTAGGCAGCTCATGGCCGAAGGGGACATACAGGCCCACAAGTACGATGATTTTTTTCTGAATTCTAAATGATAAGTATTCACTGTCTGTCTTAGTTATCTAGTGCTGCTATAACAGAAATACCGCAAGTGGATGGCTTTAGCAAACAGAAATCTATTTTCTCATAGTTTAGGAGGCTAGAAGTCTGAATTCAGAGCACCGGCTCTAGGGGAAGTCTTTCTCTCTGTGTCGGCTCTGGGGGAAAGTCCTTGTTTCTTCAGCTTCAGCTTCCTGGTTCCTTGGAGATCTCCATGTGTCTTGGCATCTATCTTACCCCATCTCTCTCTCTGATGGTTTGTTTAATCTCTTTTTATATCTCAAAAGAGATTGACTCAAAAGGTTGAGAAGTTAGAGGGTTGACATGTTGTGGGGTTGTTAACCAATGTCATAAAACAATATGTGTACTACTGTTTCATGAGAAATTATTTGTTCTGTCAAGCCTTCACCTGAAGTACAATAAAAAAAAAAAGGAGATTGACTCAAGATAAACCCTACATTAATCCTGCCTCTTTAATATAACAAAGACAACTGATTCCCAAGTGGGATTATAACCACAGACATAGAGGTTAGGATTTACAACACATATTTGGGGGTGGGGATATAATTCAGTTTATAACATTGTCTGATCAATGAACTGGAGTAAAAGCTCTGTAAAGGCTTTTCCGAACCTAACATTTGTTTTGCTTTTTGATGATATTTGTTATGGAATAAATTCTTGGAAAAGTTTGGCACTTTCACCAAAGACCATCAAAATGTATGACCAGAGACAGTACTTGGCCCAATTATTGTTAAATTTAACTTTATTTGAATTTCAAGTGTAAGCTCTAGTAACTCAAAGAGTGACCTCTCTTTTAGATTTTTGTTCAACTCTGAAGCCTTATTTACCATTTGCATAAAATTCCATGTAAACTAAGAAAATACAATAAAACCCTAATATAAATTAGATATTCTGGATGTTTTTTCCAAAAAGTTAATTATACCAAAAACTATATCATATACATTTACTGCACACTGGTTTATAATTTATAACCTTGTTATACATGCTTCATTAACCTGCAACATTTATGAAAGAGCAGTTGTAACTTAGAATTTTACAAAATTAAGTAAACATATCCTCAGATTAAAAATGCCTTCAGGATAAATAATAAATCCACTCTCAATCACATCATGGTAAAACTCCAGAATTTTAAAGAAAAAGATCTTAAACACTACCAGAGAGGAAAGATAGTTTCACCTGCAAAGGAATGACAAATTAGATTGCAGCAGAAATAATACATGCCAGAAAACAAGAGTAGTATCTTCCCAGTGCAGAGGAAAAATAATTGTTAACCTAGAATTTTATACCTAGCTAAACTATGAGCAAATGTAAAATAGACATTTTCAGAAAAACAAAGACCAAGAGATTGTACCATCCATAGACAAAGTTTCTGCCCCACTTAGACTGCAACAAAAAGGAGAGCAAACCCAGAGAGATGCCATGAAATAAATGAAATGAGATAGGAGAGAGATGTTAAGGAATCTCCTCTTTTTGATTTATATGGAAAGAGTATCAGTGAGGAACACTTAATTACATTCAACTGTGTAACAACTGAGATATAAACTTAGGCTATCCTAATAGTTGCTCAAATTAAGCTTTCTTAATCCTTCCTTACTCTTTTGGGAATTCTTATCTGTGGCAGGGTGCAAGGACAATGTGAATAAAATGCTCAACTTTCAATCCCTAGATATTTAGCCTATTTGAATAGAAATATAATGTAAAATGCCTGGAGTTTTTGAAGAAAATGTAAAGTAAGCTGTGAGTTTTTTTAAGGCCAATACCCAATATTAAAGATACAATATAATACAAATTTTATATAGATAACAAGGAAATGTGTGTGCGCACGTGTGTGTGTATGTGCATTAACTAAAAAGAAATTCACCAACATATTAACTGTGGTTAGCTCTGTTTGATTGGACCATAGAATATTTTTATTTTTATCTTTGTATTTTCCTTTATTTTTCAATTTTTTTAAAAAAAATCATGCATTATCATTGTGATTGGAAAAATATTTATAATCTTGCACATAAAGGAGACAAAGTCTCAGGAAAAAAAAATGTTAACAGATTGATTCTTTCTCACCACAGGGAGAAAGAGGAGTCCCAGGCCCAGATGGACTTGAAGGCTCACCCGGACTAAAAGGACCTCAGGTAAGTATCAGGACCCAATAAAGGTATGAAAACATAGAGAAGTCTGTGTTTTCCTACTTGGGAGTGGGGAGAACCTGAAACCTTGATAGTAAGCCTCAAAGCCCATTGCAGAATTACAGATGTTTAAGGAGAATTCATGGTAATAAAGTTAAGAAAGCAGCCCTATCTTGACTTGTATAGCACTTGGTCTTCTTTATCTTTATTACCATTCAGAAGATTAAAGAATAAACACCCTGGCAACTATCCCTGCACATTAGGTTCAGGCTGGCTAGGATATTCCAGAGAGACCTTGAACCAAAGAAAATGTTGAACCACAAATCTGGGAACTGTGGTCAATTTAGCACAGTAAGAGTTCAGTGTTATATAGTGGATGCCTGTAATGTAGAAAAATGGCTCTACTCTAGGAAAGAATTATTCCAAATACAGCTGGAGTCTTCAGTGGGGTGATCTATAGTATGGCACTCAGCCTGTTTTTTCTAGCTTACTTCTCCAGGGAGATGCCACATGCCTCAAGCACTTTTTGCTTTGTAAGGAACAAGCCATAGTTGGCTTTTTACCTTGATCACATGAAGGAAAAGGAACCAAGTGCCAGAGAGGGCAAAATGTAGCCTAAAATAATAAGTGAGAAGAAAAAGGAGGTCCTAGAAAATGCTGACATGAGAGAAGGTCAGACCACATAAAGTTAGAACATTGTTTTCCTCCCTAAAGTTTTAGTTTTGAAAACTTGAGAAATAATTGTGCTGTTTGGCATATGCATGACAATCAATGGTTCTGGTATTTTTCAAGGTTTTAATCCACATAGTTTTAAAAAATAGAAGTAACTATAGTATGTTGGCAGTTTGGTGTATTGAAGCTGGGCAAAATATCCGTAACATCAGAAGAGAAATTTTGTCCACATTTACCAAGATTTCAGAGCTGGGGTTGTAGGGAAGCATCTCAATAGCTTGGGTGGCTTTCTCTCATGCTGAACAAGTAATATACAACATCCCTGCTTTCATTTTATAGAGCCTTACTCTTTTTAATGACATATTTTAAAGGGAGATGTGAAAACCAAACACAACATGGAGGTTGCTTTGAATAACATATGGAAGCCAGAGTTAATGGGCAACATAATATTCAAGAAGTAGAAATATCCAAATTACATCTTACCATAGGCCGTATCTTGTTTATGACATCTTAAGTGCAGTTATTGAATGGAAAAGCCACTTCAGTGTTCCAATTTCAGATTTATGTAATTAAGGATTTTTGTTGTTGTTGTTTTTAATGTAAGAAACATGGATTTGTAGTTTAAAGATGCATAGGATAATTAGAAAGCAGTATTAGAAAACTCAACTGTTCAGTATTTCTTCTAGGCCCCAGTCACTTCAACTGCAAATGTCCAGCCACCTACATTTCAGATTAAGCCAGCGTATCCCTGCACAGACGAGGGAGAGCTCAACAGATCCAAGACAGAACAAAAAGCAGATGAGAGCTTTCTCTCCAATTTCTGCCCATGCCACTGACTTAGCATTTCCATGTTTAATGTCCAAGTCATCATTTAAGTGTTTGTCCTCTTTTAGGGAGAAAATAATGCTTTAATTCTATGTACTTAGGGTCCAAGAGGAGATGTTGGTGTGAAAGGAGATAAAGGAAGTCTTGGGAGTAAAGGTCCCCAGGTATGTGATGAGAGAGAAAGTGACTGCAACTAGGTTTGACCTTGGTCTTAATAGGAATGTCTTTGTGGTTTCTTTCCTTCAGATGGAATCATTTATTGCCTGTGAACCAGCAAGGGATGGTAGGTTTGACTTCAGAGCTCGATTTAGTAGCCACATCAAATCCTGGTCACCACCATGCAGAGCTGGTTGTTGATCTGGCCAACTCAGAGGTGAAGGGACGAATGACTCAGTAAGCAAGGTAAGCAAGGGCTTATTTATGCTTACTTACTAATCTGTAGTGTACAATCTCACATGGGTTTCCCCACATCAAAGATGTGAAATTGTTCACTACGGATTAGTAAGTAAGCATAAGTAAGCTCTTGCTTACCTTGCTTACTAGGTCATCTGCCCCTGTTAGGGATTATAAACTTGAAAAGAGGCTTTGATTCTGTAGGAGGGTGCCTTGGGGTTGGCAAAGAGAGAGATGCCAGCCATACCTAGAAGCAGAATCTCTGATGTGAAATTGTTCACTACAGATGATCTGGTAAGCACGATAAGCACTGAGCTTACCTTGCCTATTGGATAGTCTGCCCCTGCAGAGGTGGGAGGGTGGTTTCTAACCCTCTTTGCCTCGGTTAATCAGCAGCTACTATGGGCTAAGAATTCCTCCTGTATGTAAATCGGACCATGTCACTCAACCGGTCAGGGGCTTCCCATATGGTGTATATTGTTGGTGTCAAGGATATAGTCTACTTTAGTGGTCCTGAACCCTGGCTGCACATTAGAATGTCCTGAGGAAACCATAAAACGTTCCACCACCTGGGACCCTCCCAGACCACTTAAATCAGAATCTCTAGAGGTGGGGCCAGGATAGCAAATTTTAAAAGCTCCCCCAGGTGATTCCAATGTACACTCAGTGATGTTGGGAATGACTGCCAGACATCAACACTTCTCCAACTTCAAAGTGCATAAGAATCACCTGGGAAACTTGTTAAAATACAAATTCTGATTCAGTAGATCTGGGGTGGAGTCTGAGAGTCTGCATTTCCACTGACCTCCCAGGTGATGCTGCTGCTGCTGCTGGTCCTGGACCACGCTTTGAGTAGCAAGACCCTTGCTTACCTGCTATCATATTATGTATGTATTTGTTTAGTTATTTTTCTGTCTCCCTTTCTAGATTGTAATCTCCATGAGGGCCAGGACTTTATCTTGTTTACACCGTCTCCCCAAATCTCAGAATATCAGTGCCTGGCACATAGTAGACCACAACAAATATTTGTATAATAAATTAATCAGTAACTGAGTGAATGAGACACAGTTAGGGACTTGTGCTCTTGCTGACATGGGGAAAAAGGGAATCCATGATTCTGTGTCCATTAGTTAAACTGGGCAAAGGCCAATGCTTAAGTGGCTATGTTCATCATCAGAATATTTAAGAATCATTTGCATAAGCTTTTATCTCATGATACAATGATTTAAAGCATATTAATTACTCCTCATGAGGATATTAGTTCCCCATTTTGATGAATATGCTCCTTCAAAAAGCATGGCAACTTCTTTTTCAATTTCATGGTAGAACTAAATTAATAAAAAGCAACTATTTTGTGTTCACATCCCTGAATTCTTAATAGCTGGCTGCCACTGCCAATCGGGATTTAGAAAAAAATTAGTCAATGCCAAGGAAAACATACACTGGGCAATGATCTCATCTGTATATATATAATATTGAGATGTAGATGGGTTGAAATCCAAAGGTCTTGGTATTTTCCTTGGTCTAGAATCCAAAGTTATATCCAAGTGGCTGTTACTCAAATAAGTTATTCCATTTACCTTATAGTGCAGTTCTACAAGTGCGTCCCCTTTAATCTTGCTTTGGCTGTTTGGTCATAGTCATAAATCATTCAACCTCCTGGCATTGCCAGGATTAGTTAAATGGCATCTCTTCTCTCTCGTCTAACTCTTCCATTTGTCTGGCTGGAAAGCATGGTTTTCTTTTTTCTTTGCTTGTCAACACAGTGAAAATGCTGTTTCAAAGATGTGTAGAATTTTCTACACCGAGAACATGATGAATGGGATCTCAAATTGTTGTTTTCAAAGGAAAACCATAAGAGATTAACACAATCAGATATACAACAAGAGAGTGTTATTCTTTACTGGCTCTATAAATCCACTACATAGGTTTCATATTGTTTTACAGCACCAAAGACCAGCTGCTTGAGTGGAATAAGAGGAGTGTTTTCTAATTGTGAACTTTAAAGTTTTTCTTAAGATACACACTTAGAAAAAGGGACATGATTTCTGTTGACAGTGTTTTGAAGGCTTAATAACTTATGCAGTGTTAGGAGCTCCCTGCATAAATCAAACATAATGCTAATCTGGCCAAGCATATGGCTGTTGTATCAAAGAAATGCAGTCCATGGCACAAAAAAAAGGAGGAAATATCTTTGAAAGAAATGTTGTATTCTTTTACCTGTCTTTGTTCCCTTCTTGTTTCGTTTACCTTAAGGTCCTACCCCAACGTATATGCTGTTGTATTTGGTTTGCTAGTATTTTGTTGAAATTTTTTTGCATCTATATTCATAAGGGATATTTGTAATGTGCGTGGGGTGTGTGTGTGTGTGTGTGTGTGTGTGTGTGTGTGTGTGATGTCTTTATCTGGCTTTGGTATCAGGTAAATGCTGGCCTCATAGAATGAGGCCAAAGTGTTCCCTTCTAGTCTGTATTTTGGAAAAGTTTGAGAAGGACTGGCTGAATTCATCTAACTATTTGGTAGAATTCACCAGTGAAGCCATCTGGTCCTGGACTTTTCTTTTTGGAAGTTTTTGATTACTGATCCAATCTCTTTACTTGTTATAGGTCTATAGAGATTTTATATTTCTTCTGGAGTTAGTTTAGGTAATTTGTGTGTTCCTAGGAATTTGTCCGTATCATCTAGGTTATCAAATTTGTTAGTGCACAATTGTTCATATAAACCTTTTTTAAAAATTTTCTTTAAGGTCAGTAGTAATTCCCACTTTCATTTCTGATTATAATTACTTGCATCATCTCTCTTTTGTTCTCGTTATTCTAGCTAATGTTTTGTCATTTTTATTGATCTTTTCAAAGAACCAACTTTTGGTTATGTTGTTGATACTCTGTTTTGTTTTTCTGTTCTCTGTTTCATGTATCTCATCTCTAATCTTTATTATTTCCTTCCTTCTGCTAGCTTTGGGTTTAGTTTTGTCTTCTTTTTCTAGTTCCTCAAGATGTGATGTTAGGTTATTGATTTGAGATCTTTCTTCTTTTTTAATATAGTCATTTACAGGTATAAGTTTTCCTCTGAGCACTGCCTTCACTGCATCTCAGAAGTTCTGATATATTGTACTTTCATTTTCATTCATCCCTAGTATAATCTAATTTACCTTGCGATTTCTTCTCTGACCCATTGGTTATTTCTGCTTGTTGTTCAATGTTTTTGTGGGAGGACAGGAGGTTGGAGCTGCCCACCCCACCATTTTGCTGATGTCACTCTCTGAAGATAGGTGATAGCAATGGGAATGGAGGAAGGGATGAATACAAAAAGAGACTAGAATCTGTGGAATCTAGAGCTGATTGGTTTTAAAATGTGAGCTAGAGGGAGGGGTCTAGGATGATTCTCAGGCTTCTGGCTTGGAGTTCATGAGGAATAAATGGTGGTATCATTCCTTGAGGAACAGATTATGAGGCTAGGAGCATGATTTAGGACAAATATGATTATTTTTGATAATCAATCCTGTGCGATATCCAATAGGTGTTTTAATATATGGGTCCACTGTTTAACTGAGTGCTTTCGACTAAACCAAAACCCACTGCCATCAAGTCAGTTCCGACTCATAGCAACCCTGTAGGACAGAGTAGAACTGCCCCATAGGGTTTCCAAGGCTGTAAATCTTTACGGAAGCAGACTGCCACATCTTTCTCCCATGGAGCAGCTGGTGGGTTCAACCCACCAACCTTTCAGTTAGCAGTTGAGTGCTTTACCACTGCACCACCAGGGCTCCTTTGTCTTTGGACTAGAGATGCATATATTTATGAGTTATTGTGTAGAAGTGGTATGCGAATCTATGGAGCTGTGATTTAGGAAGGGGAGATGAAGTGAGAAAAGTAAGGTCAGACTTTTCTCACTTTGGGGCACATGAAATTCAAAAGGCAAACAGAATAATGGAAGTCTTGGAAGATTACTGAGAGGAGACCAGAAAGGTACCAGGAAGACTATGGTAACTTGGTATTACAGAAGAGTTTCATTGAGTATCTAATCAAAGTCAAGTAAGGTTGTTGTTAGGGGCCATCTAGTTGGTTCTGACTCATAGCAACCCTCTGTACAACAGAACGAAACACTGCCTGGTCCTGCACCATCCTCATGATCCTTGTTATGCTTGAGCCTATTGTCGCAGCCACTGCGTCAGTCCATTTCACTGAGGGACTTCCTCTTTTTCACTGACTCGCCACTTTACCAAGCATGATGACCTTTTCCAGGGACTGATCCCTCCTGATAACACGTCCAAAGTACGTCATCATCCTCCCTTCTAAGGAGCATTCTGGCTGTACTTCCTCCAAGACAGATTTGTTCATTCTTTCGGCAGACGATAATATTCAGTACTCTCTGCCAACACCATATAGGGTCGCTATGAGTCGGAATCGACTTGATGGCAACAGATTTGGTTTTCAAGTAAGATAAGGACAGAAAAGTGTCAACTGGATTGAACATGAAGGTCATTGGTGCTAGCTCCATGCAGTGTTGGAAGTGAAAGTTAGAAGGAGATGGGTTAAAGAGCTGTGAGGGTGAGGAAATTTAGACTTTTCTTTTAGATAAAGAAGGGAGGAGAAAAAATGAGGGACTGTGTAAAGATCATTATTATCTTCCTTAGTAGTCAACTTGTTCAGTAATCTTTTCTATTAGGAGATGTTTTATGTCCAACTTATTTTTTTTATTTTTTTAAGACCAAAAGGTTAATGTCACAGTTTTTTTTTTTCCTGAGCAAAATAAATTTGGTAAGCATCATGCTTATTACACAGAGTTGGTTTAGTTACTTTTAAATTATAGCAACCATGGCAAAAATATTTGTGCAAATGAACTCAGTTCACTGGTGTTGAAATTACTTACAAGTACCTATAAACAGTTTAACCAAAAGAGATTTTTGTTGTCATATATCTGGATATCCCAAAGGAAAAACTTGGTCCCAATTGTTAATAACAGAGGAAGGTAGTTGTGCTTCTTTGAATTGAGATTTTAAAATGTTCAGCTCTAAGACTTTCCAATAAAACATGCTTTCTAGAATATTGGAAGGACTTACTACTATTATATCTAATATATTTTCCATATAGATGCATAGCATATTTATCCATTTGTTAAGTTTTGTTATTTTGTTCTTCAATAAGATCTTTCTTGTATCTTTACTGTTAAAATTATTCTTAATATTTTACATTTTTCTCTTATTGGTAAATAGGAATTTATTTACATTTACTTTTTTTAACTTATTGCTAGGAGGTAAAAAAAAAAACTATTTCTGAATATTTATCTTATACCACCTTAACAAATTTTGTTACCGATGCTTATTGTTTTTAGTAAAGTTTTTGAGCTTTCTAATCCACAAATCATATTATTTGCAAATAAAAATAATTTTACCATTACAAAAATGCTTTCTACCAAAGTTAGGGGGACCAGTAAGAATAAAGTTTAAGGCAAATGTCATTTAGAATTCCTTCCTCAAATGTTAGACATTTTAGTAACATCAGCCCTAATAGCAAAACAGTGAGAACATGAACTCTCTTATGAAGACTCACAAGGAAGCGCAAGCATTTATGCAACATCTGGCATGAATTACTTTGTTAATTTTCTTCTATCTACTAGTCTTTATAGGACAGCTGCAATACTTTTTCAAAGCAGGAATCAGTACAGCCATAACTCTTTTCCAATCTGTAGTTCATTTTCTTCTTAGAAGAGACATGAAGGGTTTAAAGAAAAGTTGCTTTATATTCTGCTAAATTTGCATTCCTTGTTTTGTTTCAGGGGCCTCCAGGACCAGGAGGAGAGGAAGGGAGTCAAGGCCGTTTGGGAAGCCAAGGAAATAAAGTAGGTCACCTCCATTACACCCACCGAAGTTGAGGTTTGCTGCTAAAGAGAAGTGTGTCTGCTGCTATTAGCCAGAGCCCTTTCAACACAAACGAGAACACATCTCATTGTCGCTACACCATGGCTTGATTCTTAGAGAGCCAGCAATTTCTAAGGACCTGGGTGTGGATGAGGATGAAGTCAGGGATTCCAGTTCCGCATACACTTATGAGGGGCTACACCCAGTCTGAACTAAGAGACCTCAAGGAAAGGGAGCTATTCTGGGGCAGGCCTTCCTTCTTTCCTCCCTCGCTCCCTCCCTCCCTTTCACTCTCTTTTTTTCTCCCTTTCTTCCTCCTTCTCTTTCTTCCTTCTTCCCTCCCTTCTTTGATTTCTTCCTCCTTCCCTCCCTTCTTTGCTTTCTTCCTCTCCTCCATTCATACAAATCTTTGCTTAACAAGACCAAAGCGCTGTACTGGGCATTCAGCCAGGCTTCAGGAGGGCAGGGATCTTGGTCTGCTTTGTTTTCTGATGCATCCCTAGTGATTAGAACAGTATCTGGCACATCGTAAGTGCTTAGTAAATATTTGTTGAATGAATACATTTCTGTGTGATATAATGTTAAATACCCATTGAAGCAGCAGTCAAGAAATCAAACGACATATTGCATTGGGAAAATCTGTTGCAAAAGACCTCTTTAAAGTGTTAAAAAGCAAAGATGTCACTTGGAGTACTAAGGTGTGCCTGACTCAAGCCATGGTATTTTCAATCACCTCATATACATGCAAAAGCTGGACAATGAATAGGGAAGAATGAAGAAGAATTGATGCCTTTGAATTATGGTGTTGGCGAAGAGTATTGGCCAGAAGAATGAATAAATTTGTCTTGGAAGAAGTACAGCCAGAATGCTCTTAGAAGCAAAGTTGGCAAGACTTTATCTCTTCATCTTTGGGTATGTTATCAGGAGGGACCAGTCCCTGGAGAAGGACATCATGCTTGGTAAAATAGAGGGTCAGTGAAAAAGAGGAAGACCTCAACAAGACGGATTGACACAGTGGCTGCAGCAATGGGCTCAAACATAGCAACAATTGTGAGGATAGTGCAGGACCAGGCAATGTTTCTTTCTGTTGTACGTAGGGTCATTATGAGTCAGTACCGACTCAATGACACCAAACAACAACACAACAAAATGTTAAATATGACATGGAGTCACCTCCCACAGAATCTGGAATATTTTCAAGACTGTAATCTATGATATAAAGTAGACTGGGTAAGGGGCTGAAATGGTGGTTTAAAGTGCTAATTTTTGGGTTGGAGGAAGAGATATCCTAAAGGACACAGACTTGGAAGGATTTGGGCAAGTAGATGTGGGAACTGATGAGAAATTGCAGGTAGAAGAAATAGTGTGAAGGAAGGCATGGAGTTAGAAAATCCTGGATGGGGCTATGTGAGGAATGAAAAATGATCCTGGCTGGCTGGCTTATAAAGAACAAGAAAACCCATGGTGACTAACTTTATTCAGTAACCAGTACAAAAAAACAAACAAAACCCATTGCCATCAAGTCGTTTCCGACTCATAGCGACTCTATAGGACGGAGTAGAACTGCTCCATACGGTTTCCAAGATGCAGCTGGTGGATTTGAACTGCCAACCTTTTGGTTAGCAGCCATAGCTCTTAACCACCATGCCAGTACAGTGCTATTTAAACTTTTTGAACGACATATATTAACACAGCCAGATTTTTAGAAGATTTTAAATAGGCAACCCAGAGTAGAAATATTTTGAAGCTAGGAGTTCTGTTGATATGCCCTTATAGTCCTCAGGACAAGCAGTGATGGGGTGACTTAACAGAGTGGGGCAGGAAGGGCTTGTGAGGATTCAGTAAGGTTCTTCCAACTGGGACCTGAGGCAAAGAAAGAGTGCTAGATGACTTAGGGCTTCCAGTGTGAGCACTAACGCTGTCAAGGAAATAGGAGAGTCATGAGGGTTTAAGGGTGAAGAAAACCACCTAGTTTTAGGGGTGGAAGAAAGAGTTCAGGGCTGACTAAAGATACAGTTTTGGATTTATTTGAATAAAGAAATAAAAACCTCTTAGTAATAACTACTTGTAACAAGGGTAAGAGGAAACAGACAATAAATTATTAGAAAGGAAGGAGAAGAAACAGAAAAGCATTCTGGATGCTGAGGAGATTTGAAGAAGGAGAGGTCAAGAGTATCAACTGAAAATTAAGGAGAGGAGGCATGGAGAAACCATCACATCTGGTGGCTAAGACCCTCCAAAGAACAAATCAAAACAGTGACAGTTAAGGGAGGAGAAGGAGAGGCATACAAACTGCAAGGGACTGAACAATGTGTTGGTGGGGAGGAAATGGATACAGGGTTGTAAACTGCTCTATGGAGAAAGTAGACTTCAAAGAGAAGGAAAGAAGAGGACATTAACTACTAGCACTGGCAAGGTCTAGGAAAGATTAAACCAAAAACCAAACCCGTTGCCATCAAGTTGACTCCGACTCATAGCAGCCCTATAGGACAGAGTAGAACTGCCCCATAGGGTTTCCAAGGAGCAGCTGAATTCGAACTGCTGACCTTTTGGTTATCAGCCGAGTCCTTAACCACTGCATCACCTGGGCTTCAGGAAAGATTAGGCGTAGGTATTTGTTTTCAGTGATAGGATTGACTGCAGTGTGTTTATAAGGAGAGAAGAGAAAACCGGGGTGAAAAAAGAGGTTGAAGACATTATAAAAAATAGAGAAATAACAGATTTCTAGACAGAGAGGACAAAGTTGAGGGCATAAGAAGAGGGGTTAGCTTTGTAATGGAGAACTGTGAGCAAGGGCTGAAATGGCGGAGGCCAGCAGTTGAGTGTTGCAAAGACAGATGAGTAGTTGGTTAGAGGATGAAACGGGATACATGGATGACAAGGACAGTCACTTTAAAAATGGAAGGATTGTGGAGGAGTTCCAGCAAAATGGTGCTCTAGGCAGAAGCACCACGCCGTCCCTCCACAGCCAAGATCCGAAAAACTAAGCTGAACAGAGAACACAACAATCTTGAAACCCTAAAACATCAAATGAAGAGATAAAGAACTCAGCCAAGCACCAAATGGAGTGAGAAAACTGACAGAGA